TTTTATTGAAAGACCTCACATGTGATAGAGGAAAACCAAGATTACATAGAGAACACAAACCAAACATCAAAACAATACACATAATCTCCTAAGGTAGGGTTCGAATTTCAAAGTGCAACAACTTTAAGTTTATTTTTGAGTAATGTTATTCATTCTCAGTGGGGATGAAAACACAGTTTAGATGACTTTAAATGATAAGTTAAATGAAAGGTGAAATTAAATGACTTATTTAATTTTACCTATCATTTAATGCCACATTAACGTCACGTAAACTGTATTTCCATCTCCAGTGAAGATGAATAGTATTACTCTATATTTTTAACTAATTTCACGAAAAATACATTCATACGGAATAATTGAATTTTTATTTTTTAACTTACATTAAATTGAAAAGTCTTTTCACCTTGGACAATCTAACTATCCTAAAGTAAAAAAGAGAGTAAATAAGTTGCAAATCCCAATGGATAACCTGTCCTGTCTCACACACACACTGGTCCTCAACCTTTCAGGATAGCAGCATTTGGATCCCAACCTATCAAACTCCTTGACAACGATATCATTATCAGTGGACATTCGATGGTATGCTAATGACAATCCTATCTAAGAGTGCGTTTGGTTGATATTATTGAAAAAATAATCTATATTAAATAGTGATATGATGAGAAATATGTTGTTAAAAAGTAATTAAAATTTATTGATTTGATGAAAAATATTATTTTATCGAAGAGTGTGTGATTGAAAATAAATTTTAAAATAATGTATTTTGAAAGAATGTGTGTCAAACAGGGTCTAACTGCATTAATTGGGAGAATTTGTTTAAAGTATATTTGGATTCCCGACCTACCAAACCGAGCAATTGAATCCCAACATTCCAATTTTCAAATCAAAAGCGTCCCCCACACTACCATTAGCAAAGACTCAATTTTTAAACAATCAAGGAAGAGAGTTAAAGCACACACAATACTTCAACTTGTGGGTACACTTCATTTGAAGTTTTAAGGCCACTCACCATGCCCACCATACACACCACCGCCGTTGCTCTTTTTTTAACCTTGTTCACCGCCGTTGCCGCCGTTGAGAACAACCTTAACCGGCGGCTCCTTCACCAGCCTCTTTTCCCATTTGATGATCACTCCTACCCTCCCGCAATACAACCACCCGTAATTTCTCAACCACCATTATTGTCTCCATCTCCGCAGCCTCAACCTCAACAACAGCAGCCAAAATACCCATTTTCTACACTCACACCACCAGATACACAAAACCAGTTTTTTCCGTTTTACCCCTCCCCGCCACCACCACCTCCGCCGCCCTCCTCCACCGACTTTGCCACCTTTCCCGCCAACATCTCCTCCCTCATTCTTCCGTCCTCTTCATCACACTCCAACAAACCCGTTTCTCATAAGCTCATCGCCGTCATCATCTCCGTCGCCCTCCTCTCAGCCGCCCTCTTCGCCACTTTCCTCCTCCTCTTCCTCCGTCGGCATCACCTTCCCCATAAAACAGACAGCCTTCGTCTGGTCCCTCCCGATACTACTCCCTCTGATACCACCACCACCGACATCAGTAAAAAACCACCACCTCCGCCGTTCCCCCACCACACACCCACCTCCACCTCCTCCGAGTTCCTCTACTTGGGTACCCTAGTCAGCTCCCGAGATGCAAATGTTGGCTCCGCCGCCACCCAAAATGAAAAGAACGCCCCTGCAGCCTCGCTAGATTACCAGCGGCTGGGGTCGCCGGAGCTCCACCCTCTCCCGCCCCTGCCACGTCAACACTCTCACCAAAATTACAAAGATGCTACAGCAAACAACCCTCGTTCTTCTTATTCTTCCTCAGAAGAAAATGAAGAAGAGTTTTTTTCACCAAGAGAGTCCACAGGAAACAATGCTAGTCCATTTCACACGAGGTCATCACCTCCTAAAAGCTTAAACCCAATTAATTTGAACTCTCCAGCTCATTCTTCGTCATCTGATAATAGCCCACCAGTGGTGCTGAATTCCAGTAGCCCCAGGAGCTTAGCATCAAAATCACCGGATAGCTTACTGAATTTTCCGGCCCCTTTACCGCGTTATATCCCGCCGCCTCCACCCCGGGAGCCGAGGGCATATACGCCATTTTCGCCTTCATCGTCTGAGGATGGGGCCCGTAATTCCTCGCCTCAGAGTTTTGAGATTTTGGGTGTTAGAAGAGGGCCAACCCCATCCCGTCCTCCGCCTCCACCGCCGCCACCACCACAAAAGTCATGGGAATCGAAGTCGCTACCGGGGCCACCAGAGCTGCTGGCGCCGTCGAGGACGGTGGTGGTGCAGAATGTGAGTGGGGTTGCGGGAAATTTGGAAAGCAAAAGCGAGGAAACAAATTTGAAGCCAAAGTTGAAGCCTTTACATTGGGATAAAGTGAGAGCTAGTTCTGATAGAGCAATGGTTTGGGATCAGTTGAAATCAAGCTCGTTCCAGTGAGATTCTTAATTTTTACACCTTTCTTGTTTACATTTTAGTATATTCTTGTTTTACATTAAGAATATTTTTGGCACACTCATTCTAAGAAGAAAATATTATTTCTGTTTCCAAAAATGATTATTGATTTTTACATTTTCCACTTATTGCTATATTTGTGTTCTACTTTAATGCTTTAGGTACTTAATTCATAGTCCCAGCATATTCTCATTTCCTGGGAAGAATCTTTGACTGGCAACCAGTTCAATTTTCTATTCAGTTCAACTATTTGTAATAATCTTCGTCCCCGACCATGGCCATCAAACCCCGACATGGTCCTTGAAGATTGCGGATTGCATATACAATACATGTCCACCGGGGGTTGTGCCCCAACATGGTTCCTTTCATTTCCGTACGGGTTTGAACTTTGAACCCAAAACCTTCCATAAGTACTTTAGTTGAACTTATGGGGACGTGAAAGAAAACTTTGCGGGGGTGCAACTCCAGCGGATTATATGCGTATCAGACTAAATCTGCACGGACCTTGTTGGGGGCATGGTGCAACTCCAGCGGATTATATGCGTATCAGACTAAATCTGCACGGACCTTGTTGGGGGCATGATGGACAATTCCAGTGGCCATGGTTGGGGGACGTATCATTACATTTGTCCTCTCTTTGGGATAATTTTTTTTCTTTTTTTTTTTTTTGTGCTAAATATGAGATTTGTTGTATTTTGTATTAAGTTTTGTCGTGGGTGGATTTGTTTGTAGGTTGAATGAGAAAATGATCGAGACGTTGTTCATCGTGAATTCTTCGAGTATGAATGCGAAAGATGGTGCTAGGCGCATGATTCTCCCTGAAGTAAATCAAGAAAACCGGGTTCTTGATCCGAAGAAGTCTCAGAACATTGCTATTTTGTTGCGGGCACTTAATGTCACCGTAGACGAAGTTTGTGAAGCACTCATAGAAGGTGATGAATGAATTCTCTAGTTTTCTTTTAAAGCCCATGAAATGCGTTTGTCATCATATTCATGCATCGTACTTTATGCTGTTACCATATCATAATTCATTGTAGTCTCCAGTTTTGACTGTATTTGAATTTTGAACTTTAGGGTTGAAATCCCAGTGGGTCTGATGCATTACCATTTATGATGAGAATAAACTCATTATTGGTAGCTTCTTTAATATGTTTGATTATTAATGCAGAATCCACCTAATTTGGGTGGCCCCTTGAAAATAATGAAGCCATCCCTGAACATTTAATTTTCTTGTTGAAATGTCGATGTTCGTAACCGCTGTTAATAATTTGGTTCTGTTTGAGATTGATGGGACTCGTTGTGTTTTTGTTTATGTGCTATTCTTTTCGGGGTGGCGTGGCTATCATTGTTTACATCTATTATAACCTCTTGCTTCGTCCCGGGTACACTTGAGAGCAGCTTCTGAGAGAATGCCTCATTATCTGGGTCAGCTTACCTGGGGTTTCTTTTTATTTGCTTCTGAGCTCTATGTCTATCTGTTGAAGATTGCGACCGAAAAACTTTGTCAACTATTTTTCATTTCTTTGCTGTGTTATGATGACAGGAAGTGCTGACACACTGGGAACAGAGCTTCTCGAGAGTTTATTAAAGATGGCTCCCTCAAAAGAGGAAGAATGGAAACTGAGGGAGTTCAAAGATGAATCTCCATTCAAGCTGGGCCCTGCCGAGAAATTTCTCAAGGCAATGCTTGATATACCTTTTGCATTCAAGAGGGTGGATGCCATGCTTTATATAGCCAATTTCGAGTTGGAGGTCGAGTACCTTAGGAGGTCGTTTGAGACGCTAGAGGTGAATTTCACTGTCATATTATTTAGTTTATTATCAACACAATCCATTATCTGGCCATTCTTCTGTTCTTTTTTCTATTAGTTTTTTCATCCTTCACCTTTTACTGAGCCTGTTTAACTGTGTCACTGTTCTAGCTGATTTATTTTTTAATTTCTCAATGGGGGATGATAGTTAAAATTCTGAATACTTACGGCTGGTAAAAGATAAAAAAAAAAAAAAGAAGCCAAATGCGCATGATATAAGATGTACAACAATTAATGTACCTGCTCGTGATTATCCGTGATGCTTTTCAACTTTGAAGGACTGGTTTGGGCTAGTCATTCACGCAGCTTCTTAAAACTAGATATTTAGCATTCGACATGTGTCTACTTCAATCAGAGAAGATGTGAACTTGTTTTTTCAGTAACATTATTGTATTTTCCCATTTTGCTTTGCAGGCAGCTTGTAAAGAACTGAGGGGAAGCAGAATGTTCCTAAAACTTCTCGAAGCAGTGCTCAAGACTGGGAACCGCATGAATGTTGGGACCAACCGTGGGGATGCCCATGCCTTCAAGCTCGACACGCTTTTGAAGCTTGTAGATGTAAAGGGCACTGATGGGAAGACCACCCTTCTGCATTTCGTTGTTCAAGAAATCATCAGAGCAGAAGGTGTCCGCCTTTCTGGAGCAGCCGATCAGAATCTAAATGCTGAAAAGGTCCCACAATCCGCTTTGCAAGATGAAGTCGAATTTAGAAAGATCGGTCTTCAAGTTGTTTCTGGGTTGAGTGGGGAGCTTACGAATGTGAAGAAAGCTGCTGCAATGGATGCAGACGTGCTTAGTAATGAAGTCGTAAAACTTGCTACAGGGATTACAAAGATAACGGAAGTTGTGAAACAGAATGAAGAGCTACCATTGAAGGACAGTAGCGCAAAGTTTTCCAACTCGATGAAGGGTTTTTTAGAGAAGGCGGAATCAGAGATTATCAACGCTCAAGCACAAGAGAGTGTTGCTCTCTCAATGGTAAAGGAACTAACCAGGTATTTTCATGGCGACTCAGCAAGGGAAGAAGCTCATCCATTCCGGATATTCATGGTCGTGAGGGACTTTCTCTCAGTACTGGACAGGGTATGCAAGGACGTAGGAAAGATAAACGAGCGAACCATGGTAAACTCAGGTCGACAAATTCAAATGCCTGTTCATCCTAGCCTTCCTCAAGTTTTTCTTGGAGTAAACGAAAGGCAGCAGTACAGTATTAGTTCGTCTGATGATGAAAGCTCATCCTCGACTTAAACTGCGCATCTACATGCGAGTTCTTGCTTTGTGCTTCCCCGTGCCTGCTCGAGTCTTGCCCTTGTTTTACGTCGTGTACTTGAACGGATCCTGTAGAATATTATGAATCGCCTCATCCTATATATATATATATGATATGAAATAATCAGTAGTTTTTTTTTTTCAATCATTATTATTATTAATTTTTTTAACATCAAAAAGAAGCTTTTAGTTATAATAAATCGTCAATTCAAAAATGTGTTTAATAAATTGTAGATTATGGAGACAAAATTATTGAAACACCGAGTAATATGTGTTGGTAATTCTTCCACATCACAAAATTAATTTGACAAAAAAAAAAAAGCTTGAAATGCAATGTCTATCTTCTTCCAACTAAATTAATAATTTTTTATCTAATTTGAAATAAGAGAAAAATGAGGTTAACAAACCATAGGTCCCCAATAATCTATCTTAATTTTCATCTCCAATTAATTTCTTGAGTGTTCTAAAAGGCGCGATGCACGGTGAAAACTAGGGCTGGGTAAAATGTCCGAACCGAACCGAACCGGAACCGAACCGAACCGAATCGAGCGGATTTTTTAAAATGAAATACCCGAACGGGTATCCGAATCGAGAACCGAATAGTTTGGTTCGGTTCTCGGTTCTCGACCAAGAACCGAAAAATCGAATAAGAATCGAATT